GTCGTCATTGCTTATCGTTAGCTAAATGACAAAGTCGTTGACGACCAATACCTTCACTAATTTCTATTGGTTGATAGTGGTCAGTAAATATTTTTCCAGTCATCTTATTGGATGACAATAGACTTTGATTGATTTGAGTCATTTTCGGGTGGTGAACATGGCACGCGAAGGTGGCGAAAAGCGCAAGAAGCAATGGATGAGCGGCCGTGACGGCAACCAGAAGCGCCATAAGGGCGCTCTGGGTGCTGCAGCTAACGCTAAAGGCGGAAGTGCCAAGAAGCGAGCGCAACGTGCTTTATCGGCTTCCGAAGCACTCAAAGCTAGATTATTCAACGTCCTTCCAACTTCGGATTTTCTGAAGATTAAAGGATACTACGGCACAACGAAAACTCAGCACGAGCGCAAGTACGTTCCATTAGAAGCTTCACAGAACGGAAAATCCAAGAACCAAGCCGCCGTGACTCCGATTGAAGAATTGTCGCATCCAGCCTCCATTGTCCCCACTCCAGGCTTAGAAAATCCGACAGATTCTCCAGCTCCGGATGAGTGGACCGGATGGACCTCATCAGGAGGTGTAACCGGTTACGTGAGGCAGTTCTTTGACGGTCATTGGCTTATGGCAGACGTGTCCTTGTTCCTATTCCCACCGCAGTCGTGGGTACGCTTGAAAGCTCGTCGACTGGAAAAAGAGACGGAAAAATACATTTTCGCAGCCATCGTGATCCGTACGATTATGCTGACAGTACAGTCCCCTCTGTACTCCAACTTAATCCAGGAACTCACGACACTGAGTGACGTCGTGTACGCCTGTGTGTTGTTCTTCGAGTTCGCTCTAAAAGTGATTTCACGCGGATTTTTCTTCACTCCGAAAAGTTATCTTTCGGATACTTGGAACCAGATTAATATGGTGGTGTTGATGGCTTGTTCGCTGCTACTCTTGCTACCTCACTCGACTATGATCTCATTATTTCGACTTGGACGAGCGTTCGGTCCCATTCGTGTATTTTACAGAGTGCGAACGTTCCGAGTCATCACGGAGGCGCTGAAACAATCCGCGACACCGATTTTTTATTGTGTCGTACTGTCGGTGTTTCTATTTTACTCGTTTGCCACACTAGGAATGCAGATTTTTGGTGGGAGATTCGCTTATTGCAGTGATCCATCGATTGATACAGCGGAAAAGTGCGTGGGGGTTTTCTGGAATAGCGCAACAGGTATCTTGACACCTCGAGTATGGGGGAATCTTTCAGGGTTGCATTTTGACAATATCACTGGAGCCATGTCCTCCATCCTCTTCCTGGTTTCCATGAAAGGCTGGCTTCCGGTTGTCAACATTGCCATGGATTTTGCAGACGACACAAGCGTCAATAACGACCACCAAGCGTCTGCTATTGCCTCGACGTATTTCGCTGGATTTTTCGTCGCTTTTCTCTTTTTCACTAGATTTTATCTCCTCAAAGTGTTCGCAGGGATTCTCATGAACAATTTCCGCTGTTACAACGGCACTCTATTGCTTACAAACCTCCAGCTCATCTGGCTACGCAAGAAAACATCGATCGTGGCCATGCGTCCCAAATATCCGCTCCCAACCAGCAAATTCATGCAACTCGCTCAATTTTACATGCAAAAACGCTCTTTCCGCGGATTTATCAGTACTGTGGTGATCCTCCACACTTCTCTCCTTGCGTGGTATCGCTCTCCTGTTCATCGTGGCTCTAGTGAAGACGAGGATGTGGATACCGGAGTTTGGTGGTTCCACTATATTTTTTCGTTAATTTACGCGCTCGACGCTGTTCTTCGAGTTGCAGCTGTGGGATGGCGAGATTTCCTCATGAAAGGCTTCACGTGGAGAACGTTCAACAGCTGTACTGCGTTTATTATGCTCGTGGGACCTCTCATCTCCAATTCCCCCGTATTACTGATCCTCGGGATGACTCGAGCGTTCGATTTTAAACATCTGTCGCTGGTTTTAGAACGGTCTCGAGCTCTTCGAACTTTATTTCGAACGCTGTTATCCAGCGTTCAGCTTACCCTCAAGGTGACACTGCTACTGGGTTACGCTCTGTTCGTCTTTGCGATTGTCGGCGTACAAGTATTTTCACTTACACGGTGGGCTTCCGGATTAAATGCTAACCTGAATTTGACAACATTTCCCAGCGCGTATGCTGCTTTTGTCAAATTTGCAGCCGGTGAAGACTGGTACGCGACGTACTTGGCCTCCAGCGTGGCACCGCCTCAATGTGTTCTTTGGGGTCGGTCGTCAAGCGATTGTGGGTCTCCTACCATCAGTGCGTTATTTTACAACATTTTCTACGTCTTAGTAGTGTTGATTCTGCAAAATTTATACGCTTCTACGATGGTGGATACATACGTGCTGATGTCGGCAAGAGCAGATGATAACGAGCATCTTCTGGGCTTCCAAGCGGAACATCTTCAACGTTTCCAGACGATTTGGAGCGAATTTGACACTGACGCATTGGGATTGTTACATCGGAAACATTTGATGGCATTACTGAAAAAACTCGAACCTCCTTTGGGATTGGGTACGTTTAAGAATATGCTCGATAGTGTAGCCACTGAGGATATGAAGCCGGACGAGTGGGCGGCTTTGTCGCTTGCGGTTCATCAACGTCGACGCGAAACGTTCCACGATATCGAAGCTCGGATCGCGGAACTTACGTATCGCGTTTGTTTGGGTCTCGGGAACTATGACGGACTCAATGGCAGCGTGAATACCGGTACAAACCCGGATCTCAGATGTCCTCCGAACATGTTCCGGTTTACGGATCTGCTACTGGTTCTGACAATGCGAGTGTTGCCATTGGAAAGTCTCACAGTTCAGGAAAAAGTGGATGAGTTGGCGATGAGAGGATACGCTTTTCGTCATCGGAAGGCGATTATTATCCAATCAGCTTTCAGGATGTCCCGAGTCCGTCGTCGGATGAAGAGTAAGATCCGAATGGCGAGACGAGCGAGTGAAGCAGGAAAAGTCAAGCGGGCACTACCACTAATTGAGGAGAAATTGACGGAAAACGGGGCTGAAAATACAGTAAATGAGGCACCAACGACAGAAGAGCGTGCTGAAGTCGAGCAGACAAGCTCACGAGCCAAAACGACTCTATCACTTCGAATTACACTACCGACACTGTTGCTACCAAAGTCTTTCGATACGCAGTGCCACACCGGAAAGAGCACGAGCACCAGCTACAGTAGCTCCGATCCTGTCTGAACATTTAGAGTTGCAACCTGAAGCGAGCGACGGCAGAAAGTGCTCTATCTAGACTCAAATCTTAAAAAAAAAAAAAACAATTAAGATATACTGAATTACTTTAAAAAAAAACAGTTAACTTATCGTCTTGCAACAATGCAGCCGCAATCCTGTCGTCTTGTTCGGTTAAATGTAATCAAGCGAGCTGTAGAGCTGAGGATTTTCAGGTTATTCTTCTTTTCACTTGCCTCGCAGCAAGCTCCGTAGCCTCCCACAACGATGTTCCAGTCTCGCCAAAAATCGCTCAGAAACTCGTAGCTCACGAGCAAGGCGAAGGTGCCGGTGCTCGCTCTATCGCTCCATCGGTCCATCTCAATTGCGCACTCTCGACCCTTTCCTCATGCTGGACGAAGCGAGCGTTGGACTTCCCGGCGGCTTTCCGGCGCATCCATATCGTGGATTTGTGACCGTGTCCTACATGCTCCCCACGTCTAAGGGCAACATTCCACCACGAAGATTTTTTGGGCAATGAAGGCGAGCTGCGACCTGGTGATTTCCTATGGATGACTGCTGGACGAGGGATTATGCACTCGGAAATGCCAAAGAGTCACGACCCGGCGCACGGTCTCCAGCTATGGGTCAACCTTCCTAAGCTCCGTAAAATGATCCAGCCCCGCTACCAAGACGTCCCACGTGAGTCGGTGCCGCATGCTTTCAACGACGACAAGAGTGTCGAGGCTCTTGTCTTTGCCGGCGAAGTGTTCGGTTTGCGAGGTCCCATTGAAACGGAGGCACCAGTTACGTACGTTCACTTTATGTTGGCCGCAGGAGCCAAGCTCGAGTACCCGATTCCGTCAACGCACAACGCGCTTGTATACGCTATCAGTGGTAGGGAGGGGCCAATGTGTTGGAGCTTCCATCCAGCCACACGAGGCGATCGTGATGGAGAAGGACGGAGATGGTGTGGTACTGACGGCAGCCGAGAAGGACAAGCTGGAGGTGATCGTGATGACTGGCGAACCTCTCAATGAACCTGTCGTTCAGCATGGTCCGTTCGTGATGAACTCAATCGAGGGATTAAAACAAACTTTTGAGGATTTCCAACAAGCAAAGAATGGAGCTGAAAACGCGCGTTCGTGGGAGCCTAAAACCCAACGACGTCGCTAGAAAATAGTTTTCCAAAAAGTGTGACGAACTAATGACAAGATCAGTGTGTCTTCAAATTTCTTATTCATTGTTTTTCAATAGCCTAGCGCTATCGATTATCCTAGCATACAGTATAGAGCAAAGCGATGACAAGCATCATCGAAAGTCTTGACATCATTCTCGCCGACTCCTGCTACGTTTAACGACGGCGGTTGCCGATCTCCGAGGCCCACGAGTGCGCGTTCTCGAATCCGTTTTTAGCCAGTTGGAAATCTTCAAAAGTCTGACGGATCTCGTCCTCTGTGCTCATGACGAAGGGTCCGTACTGCACCACCGACTCTTCCAGTGGCTGCCCCGTCATGACAATCACCTCGAGGCTTTCGTTGTCGTCTGCCTGCAACAGCGCACCGTCACCCTTCATCTCGAGCACAATGGCTTCGTGGGGCTCGATCGAGTGCTCCACGCACTTGCCCGTGCCGGACACCGCGTACACGAAGACGTGGTGACTCTCGGGGATCGGGTACTCGAGCTTGGCTCCTTTTTGCAACATAAAGTGCACGTAGGTGACTGGAGCTACAGTTTCAATGGGACCACGCTTCCCGAAGACTTCCCCGGCAAAGACGATGGCCTCGATGCTCTTGTCGTCGTTGAAGGCGTGCGGGACGGTGTCTCGACTGATCTCCTGGTATTTAGGCTCCACCATGCGACTCTTACTGGGCAGGTTGATCCAGAGCTGCAGTCCGTGTGCCGGCACCTCGCTCTTGGGCATCTCGGCGTGCATGATTCCCTTTCCTGGGGTCATCCACTGCAGGTCTCCGGGACGCAGCTCGCCCTTGTTGCCTAGAAAGTCTTCGTGGCACATGTGGCCCTTGGACGTGGGCAAAACGTACGTGACGGTCTCGAAACCTCTGTGCGGATGGTCCGGGAAGCCACCGGGGAGACCCACGTTGAACTCGTCCAGCATGAGGAACGGGTCGAGGTTGCGCAGCCGAGTGGTGCCGATGGATCGGTGCACCCGCGCGCCGGCACCTTCACCTTGTTCGCGAGCGACGAGCTTCTTGGCGATGAGGCGAGGATTGAACATCTTTTTGGCGGTGGATCGGAGAGAACTCGTGGTTGCTGGTTGGCTACTTGAGCACTGGAAGGTGAATTGAGGAATGACCAACACGAGGCGAAGAGATTTCAGTCGCGACAACGACGTTGATGAGACTAAAGTGTTATTTTGTCTGGATTGGTTGAAACAAATCTTTACCTCTATTTGGTTGGTAGAAAAGATTGATTACGGCGGTGATTGATGCGTCTTTATTAAATGACTTGAAATTTGTAATTGAACAAAAACAAGTTTCTTTTGCCACGTCACGCATTTTGGTGGTACGCGCAATCAACTAGCGAGACGGTCAAGCGGAAAATCCACCACCGGCACACCGGCAGGTCTTTTTTCTCATAGATTGCGTTGGTGAAGCAGAACACGTGGACAAGTGAGCCATGTTATCGTAAGCTATGCTTGTTGTCTGTCTCTGTGTTTGTTTGTAGGCCCAACATAGACATCTCCGGCAGTCTCATTAACTTTCGTTGTCGCGACTGAAATCTCTTCGCCTCGTGCTGGTCATTCAACAATTCACCTTCCAGTGCTCAAGTAGCCAACCAGCAACCACGAGTTCTCTCCGATCCACCGCCAAAAAGATGTTCAATCCTCGCCTCATCGCCAAGAAGTTCGTCGCTCGCGAACAAGGTGAGGGTGCCGGCGCGCGTGTGCACCGATCCATCGGCACCACTCGGCTGCGCAACCTCGACCCGTTCCTCATGCTGGACGAGTTCAACGTGGGTCTCCCCGGTGGCTTCCCGGACCATCCGCACAGAGGTTTCGAGACCGTCACGTACGTTTTGCCCACGTCCAAGGGCCACATGTGCCACGAAGACTTTCTAGGCAACAAGGGCGAGCTGCGTCCCGGAGACCTGCAGTGGATGACCCCAGGAAAGGGAATCATGCACGCCGAGATGCCCAAGAGCGAGGTGCCGGCACACGGACTGCAGCTCTGGATCAACCTGCCCAGTAAGAGTCGCATGGTGGAGCCTAAATACCAGGAGATCAGTCGAGACACCGTCCCGCACGCCTTCAACGACGACAAGAGCATCGAGGCCATCGTCTTTGCCGGGGAAGTCTTCGGGAAGCGTGGTCCCATTGAAACTGTAGCTCCAGTCACCTACGTGCACTTTATGTTGCAAAAAGGAGCCAAGCTCGAGTACCCGATCCCCGAGAGTCACCACGTCTTCGTGTACGCGGTGTCCGGCACGGGCAAGTGCGTGGAGCACTCGATCGAGCCCCACGAAGCCATTGTGCTCGAGATGAAGGGTGACGGTGCGCTGTTGCAGGCAGACGACAACGAAAGCCTCGAGGTGATTGTCATGACGGGGCAGCCACTGGAAGAGTCGGTGGTGCAGTACGGACCCTTCGTCATGAGCACAGAGGACGAGATCCGTCAGACTTTTGAAGATTTCCAACTGGCTAAAAACGGATTCGAGAACGCGCACTCGTGGGCCTCGGAGATTGGCAACCGCCGTCGTTAACCGACAAGAGGGCTGTAGCGAGAATGATGTCAAGACTTTAGTGGTGATGGTGCTTGTCATCGCTTTGCTCTATACTGTATGCTAGGAAAATCGATAGCACTAGGTTATCGAAAATCGATGAATAAGAAATTTGAAGACACACTGATCATTAGTTCGTCATACTTTTTGGAAAACTATTTTCTAGCGACGTCGTTGGGTTTTAGGCTCCCACGAACGCGCGTTTTCGAATCCATTCTTTGCTTGTTGGAAATCCTCAAAAGTTTGTTTTAATCCCTCGATTGAGTTCATCACGAACGGACCATGCTGAACGACAGGTTCATTGAGAGGTTCGCCAGTCATCACGATCACCTCCAGCGTGTCCTTCTCGGCTGCCGTCAGTACCACACCATCTCCGTCCTTCTCCATTACGATCGCCTCGTGTGGCTGGATGGAAGCTCCAACACATTGGCCCCTACCACTGATAGCGTATACAAGCGCGTTGTGCGTTGACGGAATCGGGTACTCGAGCTTGGCTCCTGCGTCCAACATAAAGTGTACGTACGTAACAGGTGCCTCCGTTTCAATGGGACCGCGCTGACCCGAACACTTCGCCGGCAAAGACAAGAGCCTCGACACTCTTGTCGTCGTTGAAAGCATGTGGTACCGACTCACGCGGGACGTCTTGGTAGCGGGCTGGATCATTTTACGGAGCTTAGGAAGGTTGACCCATAGCTGGAGACCGTGCGCCGGGTCGTGACTCTTTGGTATTTCCGAGTGCATAATCCCTCGTCCAACCGTCATCCACTGCAGATCACCAGGTCGCAGTTCGCCTTCATTGCCCAAAAAATCTTCGTGTTGAAAGTTGCCCTTAGACGTGGGGAGCATGTAGGACACGGTCTCAAATCCACGATGTGGGTGCGCCGGAAAGCCGCCGGGAAGTCCAACGCTCGCTTCGTCCAGCATGAGGAATGGGTCGAGAGTGCGCAGTTGAGATGGACCGATGGAGCGATAGACGCGAGCACCGGCACCTTCGCTTTGTTCGCGAGCTACGAGTTTCTGAGCGATTTTTGGCGAGACTTGAACATGGTAGTTGGAACTTGGGGAGTGTGGATGGTTGCAGCGAACACGGAGAAAAGTAGAATGACCCAAGGAAACCCAGACATCTTGCCGGTTTGATTAGCTTATCAGTGAAGAAGATGACGAGCGGTTTAAACAAGCTTGCACGATTGCGGCCGCACTGTTGTACGCAATCCCAAGACAAAAACATACGAACGGGCTTTCTGACATGAAGTTTGTGTTATATTTATCCAGTCGAGTCTTTTTTCCTGTCGCTATGTTCTTTTATACTTATAAAGTATGGCAAATATAAAAGAAAAAAAATGTTTACAGCAAAAAAAACTGGTTATTTTTATTTTTTTAGAAGTGTACGGATTACTAGCGATGGCGGCGACGCGGTGCAATGGTGGATCTCCATCCGTGTGCGTCTTCGAATCCATTGGCGCGAAGATCGAAGTCTCTAAGCGTGTTGTGAATGTCCTCTTCTGAAGACATAACAAAGGGTCCATATTGATGCACCGGCTCGTTCAAAGGTTCTCCTGTTATCACCACCACTTCAAGGTTTTCATCTTCCGCTGCCGTTAGCAACACGCCGTCTCCTTCCTTCTCCATCGCAATGGCTTCATGAGCTACAACGTGTGTGTTGTCACATTTACCGCTCCCCGATAAGCCGTACACAAACACATTGTGATTGGTTGAAATGGAATACTCCATCCTCGCTCCTGGTTTCAACAGAAAATGTACGTACGTCACTGGAGCTTCTGTGTCGACTGGTCCCTTGTAGCCGAAATCTTGTCCAGCGAACACAATGGCCTCGATGCTTTTATCAGCATTAAAAGCATGCGGTACGGACTCGCGACTGCTTTCTTGGTATCGAGGCGTGATCATCTTCCTCTCTTTCGGCAGGTTCACCCAGAGCTGCAAGCCGTGAGCTGGCTCAGTACTCGAGGGCATCTCTGCGTGCATGATGCCTCTGCCGGGCGTCATCCATTGCAAGTCTCCGGGTCGCAATTCCCCTTTATTCCCAATGAAATCCTCATGGCGCATGCCTCCTTTCGACGTTGGGAACACGTACGTGACTGTCTCGAAGCCGCGATGTGGGTGATCCGGGAAACCTCCCGGAAGCCCCACGTGGAACTCGTCTAGAATTAAGAACGGATCAAAGTTGTACAGAACGGGAGACCCGATCGAGCGGCGTATGTGCGCTCCAGCACCATCGTTTGTCTCGATAGCTTGGAAGCTCTTGGCTGCTTGACGAGAGTTGAACGCGGACATTGTGGTAGATGAGGGCAAATCGGAAAATGTGGTGCATTGAAGTGTTGACGACGATTTTTGATTACGCCCAATCAGACACAATATTGTGTGTCATTGAAGATATGCAATTTGATTGGGGAAAACGAATTTTCTCCAATTAAATGGTCGCAGATTAGAAGTGACTTCGTAATCATAGTCTGTGTAGTAGCTAGCAAAAAAACAAATAACCGCTTTATTTTCTCTGTGACGTGTGAGAAACTACATCATGGCTACAGCCTGACATAAAACCACTGTTCCGTCGTCCGGACAACGTCTTCCTCGTCGAAGTCGTTAAACTCACTAGCTATAGACGCCACACTCCTGCTGCTGCATTCTGTATCCGTAAATGACAGCGTGCGATGCTTATCGCCTAGAGCGAAGCCATCGCCGGCGGCGTCATGGTCTTCAAACGCTTCTGCGGCTCTACAGAGTCGGCACTCGCTCGAAGGAACATCTGAAAGTGGATCCACGAAGGTCTGGATGCTGACGGACAGCATGCAGACGTCGTAGTGTGGGGTGAAATACTCGCTCGTATAACCCATGGCGTCCTCTGCGACCTCGTCGTCGGACTCGGAGACGACGGGTAGCTGAGTGAAGCTGTCGTCTGGGTCGCCGAAGTCTCCATCGTATTCCCCGTCGCTATCGCTGTCCTCGTTTTCGATGTATGAGGGCAATTCTTCAATGCACTTGTGGTTGTTACCGTCCAGAATTCGATTTAGTAGCCAACAAGCCGTCGCCATCGCGCCTGCTGTGCCTGCGGCCACAATTGCTTTCGTAATCGCTCGCGTCGCTCGAGATTGCATAGTGAGGTCTGTGTGGTCGTGCTTCTTTTTCACTATGGATGGCTTGCCTGTCATCAACGCGATCGACTGCACGGTCATGGCGACGGATGGTCCCAGTTAAATATGCGGATAGATCCCGCCGCTGCTGCCAGACATTCCGCGAAATGCCTCGCAATGATGCCAGGTATTCGATTACATCGAAGCATTCTGATAAATCCGGACGTATTAGGAAAGGCTCCAAAATAATTATTGTGTGCAAAATAATGCATATTTCCAAACGGATAATGTATTTTTGTCTGCTTTTGCTTTTTTCCTTGAGGAATTTATTTTACCATCTATTTAGAGAATCAAAAGCCGTTTGCGCAAAATTTATTTTGGCTCTAGATTTAGAGCCATTGACAACTTTTTATTTCTTGCCAATACTGTAATTCAAAATAATTGGTTCTTTCTAAAAGAAAGCTTTTAGGAAGCGCTGGTATTAAGATATAGACAGACGAATGACGGTAAGCTTAACTAATGTTGTGTTCATAAATTCTATCCATGCAGGTTTATTACTGGGTCTACGGATCCTACCTTCAGATCCATACTAGCTGTAGAGAGCTCCTACGCTGTTCGTCCTCCTCATCGTCCGTTGTGTCACTCACCGGCTCCATTTCGTCGTAGTCTGAAGAGGCCACCGACTGGCGTAGTTCCATCGATTTGTGTTCTCGCACTTCAACAAATTTGCGGTAATTCTTCTTGTCTTTGTAGTCGAAATACAGATTCATTCGATCAGACTGCCAGCCCTGCAGATTCAGCTTGTACGTGAGTCGTTCGCCACCTTCCAGTAGACGCTGCTCCACACCCGCTGTGTCCAGTTCTAGAAAGAGACACAATGAAACCAACACTTTGCACACGCGGTCTGCCCCATACGGGGCCTGGTAAGAACGGAAGTGGCGGATGCGGTAGTTTGCACGCAGTATTGCGAGTATCGTACGCATCATTGCATCCAACGCCTGTGTCCTCTGTGCGAATACGTGCTTGGACTGGT